GAAATATTTTCTGTAATCATAAAACTTATAAATCTTTATACATTGTCCTCCCTTGTTTAAATATTTAAATATTTCCTCATTGACTTCAAAACAAAGGTCCTATTTCTTAGCTTAGGGAGCCATTAATGATCTTTTCATTTCTTTTCTGCCTCATCTTTACCCATTCCCCTGCAAGTGTCCTTTGCTTCATGTGTAGAGAGCTGCCATGTCCGCCCCCCCCCGGCCTTTTTTTTTAACTGTGGTTGCTTCCTTCTTCACCTGAGCGTCACCTGTTCTTCCTTCAAAACTCTGCTTCAGTTTCTCCTCTTCCAGAAAGATTTCCTTGAACCACAACTCTGCCTCTTATTAATCTCATTGAGACTAGCCAGTAAGCTCTTTATAGCATTTCTTAAGGTCTTTTTTCATACTCCACTGTAATTATTTGTTACTTATCTATCTCCTTTAATAGAATAATACTCCTTGAGGTCAGAGATGATAGTGTCTTTTGGTTTAGGATCTGGCATATAGGCCTTTTGAATAAATGTTTGGTGAATGAGTGACTTCTAGAGATAAGTTTCCTAATTTGATTTACTTTGACCTTGGTTCTTCAGGCATTTGAGGGTATGGGTTATGCCATTTTCCTCATACAGACCTTTTAAAATTGACTAACTTCCATATTGCTACTTAAAATGTTTAATTAAGATAGGTCTTGGGCTTTGGGAAGGCAGAAGCCTAACTGGATAAGAATATAATAATATTATTTTTACCCCATCAGTTAGCTAAATAATCTGAAATATAATTTATAGGAAATTGTAAAGACCAACTCTATAATCATGAAATTGTGCATTCTAGCTTATATTGTTGAACCTATGACTTTATTGGTATACAAAATTCCCTTAGGAGAGAACAGATGTTTAACAGCTTTTTCCTCATTTGAAAATATCTGGTTATAGTTTCTAGATTTAACCTAATCTAGAAGAAAGACAAAGTTAAAGCTAAAGAATCTTTGCTAATAATGAGTTATAGGCTTTAAACATGTGCTTGGTAGCTCTGAGCTGTCTTTATAGTATTTGCATCAATATTCTGCGTTCTATAGCAAAATAGAAACAATATGTGAAGAAGCCCATATTTACAGATGATTTTAAAAAACAATTTATTTCATGATACAATTATAGCATTTCATTTAATCTAAAATTTTATTTCTTATATGTATGCCTAATATTTGCTTTCATATAATTATTTGCTAAGACACTTTGTATAATTATTTCTTTAGTAATATAGCAAACTAAGTCAGTGTATTATAGCTGAATCATAGTCCTGGCTGTTCTTTTTATTTATTGAAGGAACAAACGCTATGTTATTAACATTCCTTGTCCTTCAATTGAGCTTGCAAAAGAAACTTGTTTGTTAGATCTTAAATACTCTATGAAATTTGTTATGGAGGGTTTGTAATTATATTTCTAGTTTCAGGCTGTGATATATTTTAAAAATCCATGGTGGAAAAATAGAATGGGGAAAAATTACTCACGTTGCAGTAGTTGGATATCTGCTCATTTTCAGAGGCTCCCAACCTCCTTTTAAAAAATATTCTTAAGATTTATTGTTTGTTAAAATTTGGTATTGAGTTTGTTGTATAAAGTATAAAGATTACAGCATGTTAGAATATTATTGCCATTTAAGAATGTATTCACTGTTTTGGTTTTTGGAGCGCTGCCTCCAAGAGGTTCATGGCATTTGGTACGTAGTTCACGTATTTCTAGTCTACAGACCTTCCCTATCGAGGCAAAGGCTTCGTGGCTCTGATATTTGCATTTGCTACTGCTATAAAGCTCAACAATGGTAATTAATGGTTTTTTAAAAAAACTTTCCATGTCATTACAAATAAAACTTGAGTTTTTTGAAGACTAGTAATTTGTACCTTTAAAGAGCCACATTATTTTGCTTTTGTCTCAGGATGTATTATGCTTCACAAGTATACTGTGACAGCCTGAATAGAAAAGGGGGGAGGGGACATTGTCTTCAGCTGGCATGCTGTTATCAGAGGGAATGTGTTTCTGGACACGAGATTTAGCATTCATTGGTTGTCTGGAGAAAGCTATTTCATCTGAGGATTGGACAAGAAGCTGCGTCAATTTGCTGCCCGTCTCCAAGGCACTGGTGATGCTGCCTTCACAAGCTGGCTAACGTCACGGCTCCATCACCCAGCGGGGTGTGGACTCTCTTTTTCTGTTCTTCTCTATTTAATTCTCTATTTGCTGCCTACTGCATTTCTTCATCTGTCTTCTGCCAAATGCTAACAGCATGATATTTTGCAATCATCTAGGTGAATACAAGAAAGACGAACTCCTAGAAGCTGCTAGGTAAGTGATTCCATTCATTTTAAGTGAGTATAATGCATTTAAGGGAGAAAAGGGGGAGGGCAGGTGGGAGACTATAAAAATTATAACATGTTATTGTCTTGCTTGGATTTTATGCAATAATACAGATAAGACTTATACTAAATCTTTGTATACTTTATTTCCCATGATTAGTGTGTATAATAAAATCTTTCAATATGGTGATGATTATATGGTTAATTTTATTTGAAACATTTCTTAAGGTACCTGCAAACCCTAGCTGCCGAGCTTTTCAAATGATATTTGTAGAGTATTTAAATGCCTGTATCTTCATTTTCCTCTGAAGATTTTTCTAGCAAAGCTTGAATGAGGGGCAGAAAGTAAATGTTCAAATCTTCGTTCTTTTTTTTGTTGTTGTTGTTGTTCTTGGTCATTTATAATTTAATTGATTAGCTCTTTACAGCATTTTGTATGTATTTTTTAACTCCAATGTTTTAGATCATTTATCAGAATAAAGTTTGT